CAAAGCTAAATTAAACCTTTTAAAAACAGTTATTAGCTACACATCCATATTTAAGAGCAAGTTTTTAGAGGAAGGGACCATTTTATTTTCTTAAGTATGGAGTAAGGCACTTAGTAGGCCTTCGAATACCTAAATGGACAGATTTGGACATATTTTTAAAATTTCTTGATGCATTTTGCTAAAATCACTTTGTTTATGTGACATTGTGAGTATAGGACCACAAAACTTAAGCCAAATCAAGCTACATTTGTGTAGTGAACTTACTTCAACCCACAAAAATACACCTATTAAATTAAACTAAAACTAGTGGCTAGCTTCAAGTTAACATTTTTACTGTTAGTGCTGAAATTTCTTGCAATGTTAATTGTTTTAAAACAAACTCTCTTAAGTTTTAAAACCTAAAAAAGTCAATTAAAAAAGATGGAAGTTATAATCTATCCACAAATGTACATTTTAACTACTTTACCTTGCAAAAATTTTAACTTTTCTCTGTCCATCTATTTTTTTTATTTAATATAATTTAATCTTAAGATAATTTTTTTTTATTGAATGGTAACTATGTACATTAATCCATGGTCTATGTCCATCTATTTGAGGAAACAAACATCTCTGAAAAAATAGCTGCTTAATTTGCAGGATCTTTTGAGTACTTCTTTTTTTTTTTTTATTGAATGGTAACTACTTTTGAGTACTTCTAACTACATGCCTTATTACCACACAGATATTTCAACAACAGCTGTCTCCTTTCTCTAAAGACCCATAAGGGGCACGATCGTACTTAGCTTTTGGAGATTACTAAATCCACACTCAGAAATCCTCCAGAGGTACAGCCTTGGTCCGGGACTCTGAAAACGCCAGGCTGGGTTCCGCCCCCAGCCATAGGAGCCTGCATCCTTTACTGGGTAGAGAATGGCATAGTGTATTAGTAACACAAAGATCCTGAAGGCATTTTAAGTATTTATTTAGTGCCCTGCCCATGTTTACATTTTTGGGATTTTCTTTAAAAAACAAACAAACAAAAAAGACGCTGGACCTCACCACCTGGAGACCCTGGCCGGCCAGTTTGCCTCTGTGCCTAGCGGGTGGCTCAGCCGGCTGTCATCCCGGCTTTCACAGCTCCGCCCATCTCTTGACAGATAGCCAGTAGCGTGCTGGGATTATAGGAAGCGCGATGACGTAAGAGAAAACGCCCGCGTGATGACGTATGGCGTCACCGTCTCCAAGGAGCGGTCCCGGGCACCGTTTTCAAAGTCGCGGGGCGGGCCGAGTGGACTTCCTCCGCCGACTTGGGGTTTCCCAGCCGTCCTGGTGTAGCCCCCCTCACCTCCGCTGCCCTCCTAAGGACCCCGCCACCAGGCTGTCCTCCAGCTCCCTCGGCGCTCTCCTAAGTGGCTCGATAAGACCCTGAGTGACCCGGGGAACGCCTGTAACCTGTGTTCGCTTGGCACCAGAGTAGGATTCGTTTGAAAAGAATTCACTTGGATCATCCCCAGCAGTCCAAAAATCTGATCTGGGACACAAGAGAAGGAAGCGCGGCGGAGCTGTTTACGCCGCGGGAGCAGGATGCTGATTACACTGCTCGATTGCTTGACAACCTACGAGCGTAGCTTTAGTTCCTTCTACCCTCGGCCCCCGCACAGCGAGAAGGTAAAGGTGGTGAAAGCTCCAAACTAAGATTGTATCGAAATGGACACAGAAATCAACTTGCTGAGAAATGAAAGTAAGCTTTATATTTCTTTATGGAGAATGCATATGTAGTGTATAACGTCGTCATTTTTGACTCTTTGACCAACTAATATTTTTTTGAATGCCTGTTGGGTACATTTAAATTTGTGAAAACTTAAAGAAGTTAGTTGCAGAAAAAGCTTGGTGGTATTCATGAGGCTGTGAATATGTTTAAGCAGGGCCGTTTGGTAAATACTTGTAGGTTCCTTAAGGTTATGCAAAACACTGCCAGACACTAAACGTGTTTGTTATGCTCCTCTCATGCACTGCAGAAATTATGAGGGTTAATGGCCAGGAAGAGTTTCCGAGTCTGCGTTTAACACCTAGAGGCGCAGCTCTGGTCATTTGTTGAAAGATGTTTATTGAGCTCCTTCTGTTGCTATTATGTATCAGGTCCTATGGAAGCATAGCTGCTGCAAAGATAAAGAGGACAGTTTTACTGTGCACAAATTTAATTTAGAAAGGGAAATATATGAATTTCATAAATATTGGAGGGTGGTGACAATTGCTAATTCTTTTTCCCTCAGTTTCTTCATAGGATTGTTGAAATGGTTAAGTCAGCAATAAAATATGTGAAGGAATTAGAATAGTATCTGACAGATCGTGCTAAACAAATATTAACTATTATAAATTATTAAACTGTAATCAAGGGCTGAAACTTGAAGTACCCATATAAATTTATTGTCTAAAGAATTGTGTGGGTATCCTGAATAGAACTGTATTTGCAACAATGAGGGGATTGGGAATTGATTTGTTAAAGATTCACAACAAATCTGGTTCAAATGGAATCTGAAAGTTTACACGTGTAGGGAAATGGCAAGTGGAGTTGAAGGGGCAAAATGGGGCTGGATGGTGACGGGCTCTGTCTTCTGTGTGCTAAGTTTGGACCATTGCACAGACTATGGAAACCACTGAAAAGAATTCAATTGAAAGTAATATGATCTAATTGTGATTTGGAAAGCCTTGTCTGTTATGAAAAACATGCATTATAGCAGTGTGCTTTGAGGTGACTATTGTCAGCATCCAGGTAAGAAGTGAACTGAGGTGGGCACCAAGAAATTGGAGGTCAGGGCATTTGAAAGAAAAAGAGAGGGAAACCCTGGTTTTTGGCTTGAGCACCAAGGAAGGGAGGAAAAAAGTTGTAAGTTCCATTTTTGAGTCAGTAAAGACTGGTAGGTAAGAACTCAGCCTCTGGATTTATGTACTCTGAACTCATTTCCTAGTTCTACCTCTTTACAAATGTTTTTACTTCTGACAAGTTTATTAACTATTTTGTGCCTCAGTGTTCTCATTTGTTAAATGACTGTAAGAATAAAATAACTCTCATGGAGTTGTGAGAGTTAGGTGAGGAGAGGAAGCACTTAGCAGGGTGTCTGGCAGATATTAAGAGCCCATGTATGTTAGCTCAAATAATTGATGACTCTACAATGAAACTATAATATTAGCATTATTTCTTAGGTTCGAACTGGGAATATCCCCACCCCATAAAGACAAGTAATCATCTGTGTGGTGTGGGGTGGGGATTGGGTGATAAAAAGTTTGGCTAGGATTAAGAGGCTACCTGAAGTAGTTAGAAACTATGACTTTTTAAAAGAATGAATCAGATAGAATTCTTAGATAAAACTGAAGTCCACCTACTAGAGGGAACCAAATAAATCAGTTGAAGCATAGTAACATTTCTTGAAAGATGACTGGTAGTTCCATAGAAGACAGGTGGAGGAAGAAGGAAATCTCAAGCAAGAAGGAGCAGAAGAAGCAACAATTTAGAGGCTTGAAATAACTATGTTTATTTAGGAAATGGAAGGCATGTAATGATGGGCTTGCAAGAATCAATGTTGAATGTTTGTGGCCCTCTCCTTTTTCCTTTTACTGAATCTTTCATGCCAGTTAGAGGTGGTGAGTTACCCCATTAGGTGAGCCACCTTAACACATCAGCTCAGGTAAAAATAAATGGCTTGTCCTCCCCTCCCCTGCCTCTGACCTTCTCTGCATTGATTTCTGTTGCTCTTGATTGCTTCTTTGTTCCAAGTTGATTTGGTAGCCTTGCTCAAAACCTTTTCACTGGGCAACCCTAGTCAATATGGCCTTTGATAATTACTGTTTCAGCTTTATGCATGCTAACCACAGGCAACTTCACACCCAGTCAGTCTTGTAATAGAGTAAGCTTCTAGCATGTTTATAGTATACAGTTCTTCTACCTCTATCTAGGAAAGAAGATAGACAGGTTCTTAGAAATCTGCTCAAAGAGGCTCTTGTATAGCAATCTGAGGAAGAAAGAATTCATTCTTGTATTGGGGGGTATGGAAAGTGGTGCTAGACATATTTTTTCTTTTCATTCTCTTAACAGTATTTTTCACAGAGCAGAAGTTTTTAATTTTGATGAAGTTCAGTTCATCAGTTTGTTCTTTTATAAATTGTGCTTTCAGTGTCATATCTGTGATATCATTGCCTAACTGAAGCCTGCAAAGATTTTCTTCTAGAATTTTTATAGTTTTAGGTTTTATGTTTAGATCAATGGTTCATAGGGTTTAATTTTTTGAAAGATAGGAGGTAAGCATCCAGGTTTTTTTTTTTTTTTGCATATGTGTGCTCAGTTGAATAAAGCTATTGAATTACCTTTGCTCCTTTGTTAAAAATCATTTGTTTATATATATGTGGATCTATTTATGAACTGTATTCTTTTTGATCTGTTTGTCAGTCTGGACACCAACACCCCCCTGTCTTGATTGTTGTAGCTTTATATTAAGTCTTAAATAGTGTTAGCCTTTTAAATTTGTTCTTTTTCATAGTTGTTTGATTATCCTAAGTCTTTTGTGCTTCTATAAGAGTTTAGGATCAGTTTGTCAATTTTACCAAAGATACTGCGCCCTCTGACCAATGAAATGTATACCTCTCCATTGATACATTTCTTCTTAATTTCTCTCAGAAATGTTTTGTAGTTTTTAATACATAGATTTTGCACTGATTTTGTCAGCATTATCTCTATGTGTTGGAGTTTTTTTATTATTGTAAATGGTTAGTGATTTTTTGTTGCTAGTATATAGAAATACATGTTTTTGCAATTTATACCCTGCAGTCTTGCCAAATTCATTTATTAGTTCTAGTAGGCTTTTTGTAGAGTCCATCAGGTTTTCTATGTAGACAATCTTGTCATCTAAAAATAAATATAATTTTACTTTTTTCCCCCCACTTTCAATGCCTTTCATTTCTTTTTCTTGCCTTTTTGGGCTGGTTAAAATCTCCAGTACAGTGTTGAACAGAAGTGGTAGGAATAGATCTCCATGTTTTGTCCTTGATCTTAGGGGGAAGGCATCTGTCTTTCAGAATTAACTATGATACTAACTGTAGGTTTTTCATAGCTATTCATGTCAAGTTGAGAATGTTCCTTTCTATTCCAAGTTTGCTGAGAATTTTTATCAGAGTGGATGCTGGATTTTTCAAGTGCTCTACTGTTATGTATTGAGATTATCAGATGTTTTTTCATTTTGAGTTTGTTGTTAATAGGGTGAACTATAATGATTAATTTTCAAATGTTAAATCCACCCAGCCTTCCAGGGATAAACTCCACTTGGTCATGAGCTTTCTCTATATTGTTGAATTTGATTTTATAAAATTTGTTTAAAATTTTAATATATATGTTCATGAAGGATTTTTTTCTTCTGTTTCTGTCTGGTTTTGGTATCTGATATCAGGTAATAACAGTGTCATAGAATTACTTGGAAAATGTTTTGTCCTCTTCAGTTTATTCTGCAAGAGTTTATGTAAAATAGGTATTATTT